AGCCGTGTTCGACTCTGCAATGGTTACTTCAGTCCCTTTTTGGCTTTTTTAGCCCTTTCTTCTTGTCTTTGCTCTTCCATCCCTGCTTTAGGGGTGGATAAAGAACCCTTCCATGAAAAGCTGCTCCCAGGAGAGGACCAGAGGCCTCCGACCAGCTCCGGCTGCACAGTGACCTCCACGGGGGTGCCAGGACCATCGCTCCCCCCTTTGCTTTGGCTCCTTTTGGCTCCACATCATTCCTCTCCGTAACTATTGTCTCAAAGGCTCTTCCCAGCTCCTCCGCTCCCATTTCCAGGCTCCTTGCTCAATATTGGAACCAGATTGAAGCGTTTCACTCACTTGGTTTTTCTCCAAGCTGAAACATGGCCTAAAAATAACCATTCCCAGTTTGTGTGTGTGATGCTCAACCCCCTCCTCGCGCCGCGGCTGCAGCCCAGCCCCGGTTGCGCTTCGGATACCGTATCCCAACACTCCAACAGCTCCATTGAGGGCTTTTAACCCCACTCCTTTACCACAACCCATCTCTCCTGCTGGCCTGTGAGAAGCACAAGGGATTCCCTTGGGATGAGCATCACCGTGGCAGGACTCAGCACTGAAGGTGATGACCTTCGTGTCCATGAAATTGAGGTTGAGCCCCTTCGTGTCCATGAAGCCAGCACCCATCCAGCTTGAGACGCGGCACTTGGGGAGCGAGGAGACACCTTTGGGGGTTACTTGCTCCAGCAAAGAGGTCTTGGGCAGGGACATGCTCCTCACAGGGGGGTTGTCCTGTCCTCTCCACCCCATCCAGACACTGAGGAATGGGGCTGGATGCTGGGATGCACATGGCTCCCTCCTCCTCCCAGCAGGACACTGTGTGCAGGGGCTGCCGTTACTCCAGGAGTATCTGAGGGATTATCTGGGGGCTTTTTACCAGCACGAGTAAATGAAGAGCAACCACGTGCTGAGGCGGCTCCGTCCTCACGGGGCTGGGAAGAAGGAGCTACGTGGTCGGATGGGTCTGCAGAGCGGTGCCACCAGGCACGGCTGAGGTCCCCCCAGGCTTGGCCACTGCTCCCCTCTCCCTTGCTCTGCTCTGCAGAACCCCCCCGCAGCACCCAACACCAAGCAATGGGTCCCACAAGCACAGCTTTGGCCAAGGGGCTGGATGAGACCTGATGGGATGGGGGGACGTTCCCAAGTGCTTGGACCATCCACGGCCACCTGAAGACCTCTTTGCCCCAGGTCTTAGAGCTGTTGGACGCCCCCAAGCACAGCCCAGAGCCCACTTAGATCCCGGACCTCTGGACCTCTGGACCCAACGTGCCCCAGCAGCAGGCACCGAGCACCAAACCCCAGCTCTGAAGGTCCATGTTCAGCAGCCCCAGCTCATGGCGGAGGCTCCAGGGCTGGGGGGGCTGCAGCACTGGAGCCTTTGAAGCGCCGCTTCCGCCCTCCCCACATCTTGAGAGCACATTTGCTACAATGCAAAAAACCTGTTGTTTTGCTCAATGGGGCTTTGAATATCTCCAAGTGTTCCTCAGGCAGGAAGGTGGGAGCAGGGCCACCAGCGGGGGCAAGCAACAGACACGCTGGGAGGGTGCCAAGAGCCCGACAAGCTCTTGGAGACCACCACTTAGACTGGTTTGGGTTAGAAATGACCTTAAACTCACCCAGTTCCACCCCGTGCCATGGGCAGGGACACCTCACACTAGACCATGTTGCCCAAAGCCCTGTCCAAGGCTTGTGGTGTGACAATGGGCTGCAGGTAGAGCCGTGCGTTGCTTCCTTCTACCACCAAAGGTCTTCTGCAAGCCCCGACCCATGCACCAAGTCCAGCCGACGCCGCCCGATCCCTGAGGACTCCCTTGTGCTGCCAAGCGCCAGGGATGCTGCTGCTCCTCCACCATGGTGAAAAGTGGGCATCTGCATGGAAAAGGTGCTGCTGGATGGGGATGAAGCAGGGAGTGATGAGGGTGTCGTGGGGGTGGAGATGATGGCGATGAGGGTGTCGTGGGGATGAAGATGATGCTCTTTGGAGAAGCCCTT